CCTCGCAGCCCGCTCCGTACTTTGAAACGCACTTTTCAAGCTTGGTTTACCTGCCTGCGGCAGGTAAAAGGCGTCGGGAAGGAAGTCCGGCAGTTAAAGGATTTGAACCTTGCCATATTAGGTAAGGAARAAGAAGAAATAATAACCGCCAGATTAAGTTTTTGAAGGGAAAATGCCGTAGGGTTTGCTTTATATGCCATCTTATGGTGGCAAGAAAGGGAGCAGAAATTAAAAAAAAAAAAAGTGCACATTCAGTCTTAAAAAACATTTCAATATTATTTCTAGAGCCGTTGCTGTAGGTCAGAAAATAAATTATAAAGTTTATTTCTAAGTAGCATTGTTTTTAAAATATGGATGTACTTCTGACAAATATAGGTTAAAAAAATAAAGGAAAAAAAAAAAAAAAAAAAGTCTACCTTTCCCGCACACGCATTTTTATCCTAATGTGCCTGCTGGAAATATAAAATTAAAGAACAGTATCATAAATAGCATAACGAAGTGCTCAGTGAGCACGCAAGGCTACTTTCAGTCAGTCATAACCCAATGTAAAAATGGTCATTTCTTGACGTTATATTCTTAGTGCTAGAATTCAGGCACATTCTGATTTAACCCGCAAGTACAATTTTACCATGGGATAGAGAAGAGCAGAAGAGCCGGGGAGCCGCAACCTCTTACCACTTCCATCCGTCCCGTGCTGTTTATTTTGCTGCCTTCCGTGGATCTCGGCGTCGCGAGCGGGCTCAAGGCAAACCGAGGAGCTGCGAGGTTGCACTGCCGCTCTGGCAACCACCTTTCCTGCTTTGTGTACTCTACGTAATTGCCTGGGTGTAGGCTGCGTTCAAGATAAAAAAAAAAAAAAAAAAAAAAAAAAAAAAAAAAAAAAAAAAAAAAAAAAGTTTGCTCTTTCCCCACCTCAGGGAAATGAAAAAACAACTCTGGAAATAGTCCAGATGAGACATACAAGTTAGAAGACTTGAAAGTAAGGTTGGATTTCGGTGCTTAGTGATAAAAACGTCCGCTGGAAGGAAACGTTATTTCAGGCCAAAATGTTTCAGCTCGAAACAAACTTTTTCTTCAAAAATCCATTAGTAAAACAGATCTGATCCCTGTCATGAAATGGGGGTGTATGTTTCAATCTAGTCRAGCCACATCACATAAATATTTTTATCTGTGTTATCAAGATGCTTTTCCTTTGTTTGGAAGGTGTCCAAAACCTGAAGCCAAGTGTGAAATACTCTTCTATCTTTTCACGCGCTCAGGTAACTACATTATGTTTGTACTACAACAGCTCTAATTCATTCATTTTCATTTCGTACACTCCCTCTGCTGGATATCAATATGAAGCTCCAGTGGATCAGAGGAGAGACTAGTTGCAAAAGGAGTGCAAGACACGTGGAACAGATTCCTGCTCCCTTTTATTAAGAGATTACACTTCAGGGACAGTCCAGTCGGTATCAGCAACACAACATGTATTCCTTATGCAAAGTTATTCATGTACTTTGGTCTTACTGAAATCACTAACACGTATGGAAACAGTGAAAATGGACAGGTTAAACATTCCTTATGTATTAACTTTRGATGCATCATCATTTCAGATCTGGTAATCTGAAAGATAAAATATACAAAAACAAGAGCAGAGAGAACTGCTAAAGGAACTCAGATGCTGATAGGCGAGRTAGCTGACAGCTGCAGTCTACAGTGATAGCCACTGCTGCACTGATATCTGTACAGCTTTAATCGGTCTCGGAAGAAACGAGAACAAATAATATCTCAGCTCTAGCACTACCAAAGCCACCCCACAACGCACATATTTTTTTCTGGTCAAAGGCTAAAAATGTTTGCCTAAACACTGGCAGCAGCAGTTTAACTGATTACATGTTTCTAAAAATCAAGCTTTATTAGAGGCTGAAAGGGAAAAGAATAGTTTTGAATGGAAACAGCAGGGTAAAAGGCACAGATACACAGCTCCAAATGCTCTTGAAAAGCCCTGAAACAGTTTTACCCAGAAATATTTAATGAATTCCTCCTCAGTAGTAGACTGTATCTCCACCATCAGTAGTGGAGACACTTTTCTGTACAAATAGTAGCTCCTATTTGTTCTGGGGTAAAAAACACGCTCATTGTGCTCTTCCTTTTACAAATCCAGGGAACTAGGATGTGTGCTCAAGTAAATATTTTATAGTGGTTAATGGTGACAGTCTCCTCTACTTTAGGTCAGCAAAATCAGTCGAAATAAATCTGTAAGTCCATAACCTGCAGCTAAAGGCTATAAAAATATTTGCTATATTGCTATATATAAATATAGCAATAAATATATATAATAAATAAATATATAAATATATAAAATTGCTATAAAAAGCAAAGATGCTTTTTAAAATTTCATAGCATTCTTTGTTATGCAAAACAGATTATTTTAGGCTATTACAAAATAGCTGAAAATTAGTTTAATATGCTCTTATTTGACAAGAAAATCACAAGTCATATTCTTAGGGTTGGATATGTAACAAATATTACTGTGAAGAAATAATGAGCTAATTTAAAACATATAAAGTTTAAAGTTTAAATACAGTAGAGTATTATTTTGTATTGTCCATAAGCATCACAAATGCAAACATGAATGATGAGGGGGGGAAGGTAAACATTTATTTCCAATCAAAATTATGTAATAAAGCAACAAGAAAAGTACCCTACCACCAGTAACCCACATTATGAGGAAATATAGGCTCTTCCAAAATACTATAATACAATTCAAATTGGACATAGTCGATAGGACTTCCTGCTATAGGGGGAAAAAAAAGGTTATTAAAAATTAGAGGGCCTCCAATCAGTAGTAGAGAGCTATAATTATGCTGCTTGAGCTCATTATCTATATTTCAAGGATGAAGAAAAATTTCCTATTCAGTAATGGTCTTTAAAGTTCTTAGAATATACTCTTAAGAGAATAAATTGTGCAATTCCCAATGGACAAACACTGTTCAAATCCTAGGCTACTACTATATTGGCAAGATGGAACAAGCTTTTTTCTTTACACAGGAGTGCTTTGCTTACAAACTAATGAACATTAAATTAACACATTTTCTATCTTTTCTTCATTTTCTGACTTCCCACTAGGTCAAATGTGAGGTTGCCACGACAGTGATACTACCTTGATACTGTTGTTCCGGAAAGCTGATTCCAGAATTTGTTACAAGTATATATGTATATATACTTATATATATATACACACATATATACACACACACACACATATATATACAAGTATATATGTATACATATATAAAATATATGTATATATTTTGGAGGGGGTTTTATTTACCAAAATACCTTTAAGTCAACCTGTTCCCGAAAGCAACACAGAATTATGTCTATGGTTTACACTAGTGGCTTTTAAAAGGAGGTAAGGAACATTCCTACACATTTTGATATCTTCATCATTATTTGAGTTATGAATCTGAATGCTCGGTAGTCAGGTTGTCACAAACAATGGGTATGCAACACATGCAGGTTTTCATGAAATAGGCACAAGGATGAATCTGCTAAAAAAAAAGTGTGAATAATGTACTGAATTAAACAGAAATTATTTAATTGTTTTGCTGTCTCCAAGGACAAGAGAGACTTCTCAAGAGAGAATGCTACATGCTCGCCTGCATTTAAGGTGCAAAAATGTATAACATTGATAAATATTATGACCTAAAGAGTAGAAATTSTGAGCAAGTTAAAATGCCAGTATTTATCATCATACAAATAGTACACCTTTATATTAAACAACCCTTTAAGTAGAAACTAGTGCAGCTGTAATAAAACAGTTGTTAATAAAATTAATTTGCTGTAWAAATATTTTTAAAAAAATCTGTAATAAAATTCTTAGAAGTTGAATACCTCTCAAACATGTATACTGGAAACAAACAAAACCATACATCATAAGACAGGATAGATGGATATCAAAACACTGTGATATCCCCTGGCTTTAGTAGCCTGTTTTGGCCAAGCTGAGAAGTATGAGAGGTTTTGAAGAAAAAAAAAATCCCTGCCTACAGTGGATAGCATAGCATCTTCTCTCAAGCGTAATCCTCACAAAGTCCAGCAAAAATACATTTGGATCATAATATCTGGATATAGACACTACTTTTCCCTGATACTGTTACATCCATTCCTTTATTCCAGTTATATCAATACATTTTTAATAACGGAACAGTCGCACACTACCAATACAGTTGGTGAAACTTGCATTTCCTTCCTGTTACCTGAGATGGGCCATATTCCCCAATAATACAGGATTGGGCAGGGAAATTATCTAGACAGTTTTCTTTCCACTGAACAACATTAGGAGTGTCTGAAAAAATTTCCAGCAAGTCATGAAATATATTTAATGTATAATCAAAATGGGAAAGAATGATAAGCCCAGAATTATACTTGAACTCTAACTCTCCAGATGATGTGTAGTGTCTTCAGAAGCCATCATGAATATAATGTCAAAAGTCTTTGAACGAAGAATCCCTAGGGAAAAAGAAAGGAAGAAAGAAATTTGTTTCACATTTAGTGAATACAGAAATACATTCTAATGTTTCTATATGAAAAAAAAAAAAAAAGAAGGCACTCTGAGCAGGCTTCCTAGATACTTAAGTAGTCAATTAGATGCTCTGTAGTATTTGTTTTTATTGCACCAAAGGGCATTATAGCACTCCCAAGTGCAAGATAAACTGTGGATTGGTATCATTTATGAAAATCAGGCAGAAATGGTTTTTTCTACCAGGTCTGCATGACAAGGTGCATGCTTTTCACTGTAGTGAAACACRGAGTCTTGTATAGTAAAGTGGGAGAATAATATTAAGAAGCTACTGTCAAATTTATTTCCGATTATCACAATCTTTATAAAATAAACAGATAACTTGACTCATCTTCCATGGCAGCCCACCTGGTAAAACAGCACCAGAACACTGCAGCGGAGTTAGTGTATCAGTGGTGACACCAGTGTTGCTGTCTTGGTGTATTCATGAACTGTCAAACCTGATGTTGACTGTTGAAGAAGCCTCTTTATGAATACCCACTTATTTTTACAGTATCTTTCCTTAACTTGCTTTCAGTCGAGTTGACAAATTATCCTCAATCTACTGAAGGACAGAACTTCATCTCCTAGGAATCTATTTCTAATATCATTCCACTTTAAAACCAACAGGCGCTCACAGCTAGAATATGTTCCATTAAGTTCTAACATCTATTTAAACATCGTAAGTAACTCGGCTGTTCTGCTCCTGAATACACCCATCAAATATTTGCATTCAGTTCTTCCCACTTACTCATTCTACCAGGCCATTTATTTTACAGTGGTTTATTTATCTTATTCTGGTCCCAGCTCCTGACCCAGGGAGATTTGCTCAGCACTCACAGGACCTATGTACTTGGAGAAGCCTTTGATAATGGAGATGATTAAAGTGCCCAAGTTAAAAATCTCAGCACAGTACTGAGGTAATTCATCTCAGAAGACACCATCATCTCCTAAACAAAAAGATTTCCTGAAAGTCATGAATTGAGATTTTTTTTTTTTCCCCTCTCAACTTGATTTATTTTTAATGCATGTTGCCTTCAATTTGCAGGGAAAAACAAACAAACAAACAAACAAACAAAAACAGTTGAGATTTAAACTGTCAGGGGAGTAGTTGCATGTTGTGAAGGTTCCATTTTACTGTCTGAAGACTGTTGGGCTTGTTTATCCTCAGGGTTTCATGTGTTTGATGATGTACAGACAACATTTATGTTTCCAGTAAAAATATGCTAAGAGGTATATACATATTTAAAGCAAAAAATATTTTGCAAATTACTACAAGAAAAAACAGTTGGATAGCTCTGAATTTTTCTGCAGCAGCAATCTAAATATGTATGCCTAAAGTTGGACAAAAAGGTAGTAAGTCGGAATTCTATGAGGTACTAGGAATGTCAGAAGGTATTATGGCTACAGCAGTTCCAGTACATGTAGTTGCTATTAATTACGTAATGCAGCTGAATAAAATGAAACACAAGTAATATCATGAAAAGATTACACTTCTGAATCTATCTAATTTTTTCAAGCAGTCCAGTTTAATGGAATTCATCTAATATTTCAACAGGAATTATCAGAGTTCTTCTGCCTATTTTGCTTCTGTGTTAGGAACTGGGTTCCTGAATTACGTACCCTTCTAGGGACCGGTCCAGAGACCATTCAGGAGATCGATGGTGGCAACGTTCGGGTGATGATGCTCTCAACGTGGAGCTAAACTGATAGGAGGTTGTAAGATTCTGGAGTCGAAGCTCCTGTACAGCACGTTCCCTAAATAAAAATTATTTTAGAGTGAGGCTAAACACTTTATAAAACCAACCTCATCCTCACTATGATCCCTAACTAGGGGAAGAGATTAAATCTTAACAATGTTTCAACCTTTTTGCTCATGAACATTAGAATAAGAACCACTTACAATCCCGATCTGGAAGCACCTATACACCCTGAGAAGGCTGTATTCACAAGGCAGGAGTAGAGAAACACAATCTGAAGATTAAATTAATTTCAAAACAAAAGCGCTCTTGTATTTGCATACAGTCTGGCATATTTTATACAGCTGAAGAAGCAAAAATTGAGGTCACTTTTAAACTTACTTGCAAATTACTCCAAAGTTTAGAAAATTTKCTGTGACTTCAATGTAGGACACCATTTGAAACTGAAACATACTGTAATATTTAAGGAATTAATCTTTAAAAGGTATGACCTTGACTGTATAAGTCCCCCTCCAAAACATTCATTTTTGCTTGTAAGACAACAAAGCATCAACAAACTACTTTGCYACAATGAAGGAAGATCCTCAATTCTCTAACCTGTTCAGCAGTGTTGCTATTTATCCTTTTAAATTGTTTAAGTCTAAATACTAGCACTGCATTTCATCCAAATGAGATAGAGGAAGTGTGATAGAAAAGCATGTACTTGCCTTTCAAAGCGCTCCGTTCCCAGCTGTCTTTTGGTGATATCGAGTTCTGACTCTAGCTGAGCTGCTGTATTTCTGAGCTGAGTAAAATCTCGGCTTTGCACAGCACTGTGAAGCCCACATAATAATTAGACAGCACTTACAAACCTCTTACTGTGTTGCCAAACAAAATTATCAAAATTAAAAGGGCAGTATAGCATGCATGCAAATGATCTCAAGAACATCTTATGGAGTACCATATACTCCATGGTATAACTATCCCATGCATTTTTCTCCATGGAAAAGCCTTTTATGGGGTAGCTGAGGAATCAGCACCAGATTTTTAGAATCTTCTGCTATTAAGATAGCCAAGATACTTGACTAGTTGCAAATGCATCTAGATATGAGCACTCTACTTGTATATATATCTAAGGGGAGAAGGAAAACACAATTTCAGCTCAAAAAACTTCAATATTCTATTAGTCATTTACTCACAGCTTATTCTCTGCTAAAGCAAGCTGTTCCTTGAGAAGCTGAATTTCAGAGTCTCTTTCTTGCTCTGCTATCTGCGATTGCAATTCTTTCTCTCGACTAGACACAAGCAAAGATTCCAGGTTCTTCAGAGATGCTCTTTCATTTGTCAGCTGTTTCCTGAGGAGCTCTATTTCAGAATGGGATGACTCACAATCGTTCTGCAGCTAAACAAAAATTTTAAACTTGGAGATGTAYGCCCAGTAAGCCTTCCAGCCATCTGTCAAGGTAACCTCAAAGAAAAGGCTGGGAACAAAGACYCAAACTTGTTCTCATGTCTAGACGGTTGGTCATTGTTGTATGTGACCTCAGTCAAAATCCRCTGTCAGCTTTATTAATTGATCCAATGTATATATATGTGATCATAAACATACTTGCTACAAACAGTCACAAACTGCTATGAAATATAAGAATCAATAGACACAGGTATTTTATGTGAAAAACACAGAATTATCAGGAAGAGGGAAGCACTGCATTTTACTTATGTGAGAAATGGTTGCTTTATGGTTGGTTGCTTAAAGGTTGCTTAGAGAAGGTGAAACCTGATAAAACAAACCAATATCTGTATCTCCAACAGGCTAATATTACATTTATTTTACTTAAGGGAGCATAAAACAAACAAGCAAAACACTAGTGAGACAGAAAATTCTCAATAGCTTACAGTGAATAAATTTCAAAATAAAAAATTAAACTACTATATTTCTTGGTGACTGTAAGAAAGAGTATGTATAAAACTTAGTATGTTCCATTGAAAATGT